GCGACAGGTGAGGGATAGGGGAGATCTTAGGGGCCGCCCCGCCCCGCGTCCCTCCGCGGGGGAAACAGGCACGTGGAAGAAGAGCGGATGGAGCAGCTGGCCAGGGGGCGGCGGGAAAAGGTGCCCAGGGCTGGGTGGGACTGAGCTCCCCATCATGGATGGGCTGCAAGGGGAGCAGCCCGCCCGGGCACGCTCCAGGGGCTCCCGCACCCCCCCCCGCCGGCCGGATGTGCTGCCCGGAAATGCCTCCCCTGTCCGGCCAGACTTCTCTACCCCCACCCAGTGCTCCCCGCGCTGCCCACGCCTCCCCGGAACCCACCTGGCCCAGGCCCACCGCTGCCATGGTCAGTGCCGCCAAGAAGTAGGCCGCCCGGGCCGGGCGGCTCGGTCTTGTTCAGCTCCTCCCGCCCCCAGGCACGGCCCCTTCACCATCCCCCCAGGCCCGCCGCCACCCCCCTCCCCGCACTGGCAGCAAGCCCGCCTCGGCCCGCCAATCAGCGCGCGCCTCGCGGTCCCTGCCCTCTGGGGCTGGCACAAGTGCAGCTGTCCCCTCCCCGGAGTACCCAGCCAGCCCCTGCCCCCATAGAAGCCTCCCGCTCCACTTTCTCTGCTGCCAGGGAGGGGCCGCCCTGCCTCCTTCATTAATCTAATTGTCATCTAATTCTTCTTCCCCCGGGCCTGTTAGCCGGGCCCCCGCCCCAGGTCCTGGTCCTTCCCCCCCCACCCCAACCCCGCGGCGGGCGGGATTGGGCTAGGCTGGGACCCGCATCCAGACCCAAATAAAATCGAAAGACAAGCGCTTTTTGTTTCCAGTTTATCGGAGGGAAGGGGCCGGGAGGAAGGAAGGAAGGGGGGGCCAGAGGGGGCCCTGGGGCGGCCCTTCACGTGGGGGGCACCTTGGGCCCATAGCCCAGCTCGGCGCCCCCGGTCAGGGGCAGCTCCACGCCGGTGCAGAAGGAAGCGTGGAAGGCCAGGAAGACGGCAGCAGCCCCGACCTCGTCCGGCCGGCCCATCCGTCCTAGGGGCTGAGAGGGGACAGAGCAGAGGCTGAATTCAGCCCGGGCTGGTCTCCAGGGGCCTGCCTGGCCAAGCCCCGGCCCCCCGCCTGGGTCCCCAGGCCTACCTGCGCCCGCTCCCCTTCTCTGATTGTGGCAAAGGGATCGGGGGTCAGGGCGGCCAGCTCCTTCCACAGCGGGGTCCAGATGTTTCCTGGGGAGATGCTGGGGGAGGGGCGAAGGTGGTCCAGGAAGGGGCCGCAGCGGGCCATTAGCAAACGCTGATTGAAGGGGGGAGGGCTGCGGACCCTCCTGCCCCGCCCCCCCCCCCCAGGCCTCTCGGTTCAGGCTGCCGGGAATTCGGGTGTCCTGCTTCTCAGCCCGTTTCCTTCAAGCCTTGGGTCTCCCAGCACACCTCCACACCCCATTATCCGGCCTTCCAGGCTCCCTATTTGGCTTTTCTCTCTTCCTCTCCATCTCCCCAAACCTCCTACAGCTCCCAGTCTCCCTCTTTCCAAGCCCTCCACTTCCTTACTCCAAGGTCCCCAATCTCTGGCTAAAGTCACCCATCATCATACAACTTCTTCCCTTGGGCTCCCCGTTTTCAGGGCCCGAAGTGCCCTCAGTCCTCCTGCCCAGCCCCTAGCTGCCCCCTTCAGTCTTCCTACTCCCACAAGTCTCAGGCCCCAGATGTGGATCCCCCAGACCCCTTCTGCCCTGTCTGTCCCTAGTGTTCAGTTACCAAAGCGCCTGGTTCCCAGCCTGAAGCCCCCGTAGTCTACCTGCCTCCCATCTCACCTTCCCAGATCCCCTCCCATCCAGGCCCCACTTTGCTTTCAGCCCACTGCCCACCTCAGCCACTCACCAGTTGACTCGAACACCATACTGACTCTCATCCAGGGCCAATGCCTTGGTCAGAGCTGTCACAGCCCCCTAGGAGATGGGAAAACCACTGAGTCTGGGCAGTCCTAGGAGATGGGCCTTGCCCTGCCCCTTGGCCTAGGGGGCATCATCACCTAGTCCACTTAGGCCAAGAGGGACACTTATGACTCAGTAGAAAACTGGGCCTCAGGCCCAACTGGTTGAACCCACCTCCTCTGGCCCCTTGAGACAGTGGAGACCAGCCCTTGCTAGGCACCTCGATCAGACCCAGCCAACACCTTAGCAACAGAACCGAGGGATGAGAGAGGCTGTTTCTGTTTGGGCATCTGGTGTGCGTGGACGGGACGCTGCCCCCTGCCAATGGCCGAGGCCAGAGAGGAAACTATGCCATCCCCCCACCCCCCACACCTTGGTGGCCACATAAGATGCGGCCTTTCTCTGCCCGATGGCCCCCACCAGGCTGGAGATGTTGATGATGCTGCCACGGCTCTGCCGAAGGAAGGGAAGGGCGTACTGTGGGGAGAAGGAAGAAGGCAATGAGCCCTTGCTGCTTTCCGTCTGTCTCTCGCCAAGATCACAGAACATCACAGCTGAGATTGAGCTGAACGCCCCCATTTCACAGATGGGGAAAAACTAACAGAGGCTAGCACCTCTCCTGCCCTCCCTCCAGCTCAGACTGGCCACTCCCAGTCCCTGACCTTTACCATTCCCCTCTCAGGGCCTCCTTCCAGGCTCACAGCACACATTTGTTCCAAGCCCTCTCTCACCTTTCCTGGAAACCTGGCAGTTGCCCAGCTCAGCTGCTGTGGGGCTGTCCCGGGCCATGCCCAGATCCTCCCCCTGCAGCCATTGGCCGCCTCACCCCAACTAGAAGCTGAGAGCGGTTAGCTACATGCCAGGCAACATTCCCGCCTTCCTCAACGACCTTGGCACACGGTCCTTGGAGGCTTCCCTTCCACCCTGATGCCTGCCCTTACTTGGGAACCTCAGACCAGACAGGGTGAGGTCCCCTCAAAAAGCCCTCCTAGCCACCTCAGCCATTCCTCCATTGGCCTGGCCTCTTGCCAGCCACCCTGAAGCTTTGTCCCCCACCTCATTTCCAAAAAACAGAATCCAATAGATCCTCTGTCCTCACCAAAGCTTGGAAACCCCCAGTCCTCCCTGCTCGGTCAGGCCTTCACCCTGTTCTGGCTTGCATCCGTCCCTTCCAAGCTTGACCCCAGAGAATCAGTTCAACTCTTTCCCCCTTCTGAGCCTCAAATGCCAAGCCAAAGCCCAATCCCAGGTTACTCCCACTGGCTGCCTTCCCCTCTGCCTCTTCGATGCTGAACTCCACCAGACAGGTGGATGTAATCTTGACTGGGCCTTCTATGTTGCCTGTTAACCTCTTTATCTGTCCCCCTGCCACCCCCACAATGGGATTCCCCATGCCACGCCCACAGCAGGTGTTCCACACCGCATCTTCCCTCCTGAACAGACTGTGATTTTTCCCTCTCCCCATATGTCGCCCCTCCAACTCTCTCCTTGACTTTTGTCTCAGAAGAGGACCTAATCCTCCCTTCTCTCCACGTGCACCTTTGGGACGTTGCCCCTCACACCATTCCCTTCCACCATCTTCAATTTTCCTGCCTACCTACTGGTTCTTCCTAGTTGCTGACAAATGTGCCCAGGCCTCCCCTCTCCTTAAAAAGCCATTTACCCTACCATCCCCTCATATGATCGCCCTGTAGCTCTCCCCCTTTCCCAGCCAAGCTCCTCGAAAAATCTCACTTTTACTTCCTCCCCTCCCACTGGCTTTCCAACCCCCATCAGTCTGGCTTCCACCCTCTCCTGCTGCCTGAAATCCCTCTCCAAGCAGCAAAGAAAACACCACCTGTTCCCCTTGGCTCTTCATCTTCTTACCCAGAACACCCTCCTCATCTTAAGCAATGTTGTCTTGGGTTCTACCGGCAATGGCATTTGTGTCCCTGTGAGTCACCAGAACCTGGCCATACTTAACCAGTCTGACAAGTGTCTTGAGATCCCTGACCACTTCTTGTGCACACACACACACACACACACACACACACACACATGTGAGCCCAAGATACCAACGACCCTGCCGTTGCTCTCATGTGCAGAGATAGCTGACTCAGTAACAGAGAGAAAGGGCTTTTTCTGGACACCGTCCCCTGAGAACACCTCTGCCCCTGCTTCATCACGCCTTGGAGGAGCAAAAAATGCTCTGTCCTTGGAACATCTGGCACCTTCCTCTTCTGGAAGAGCCTCACATCCATTGTGGAGCTCCAAGTGTTCTTCCTTTTGTGCTATCTTTTAGCCCCCAAACTCCTGATGCAGGTGGGGGGCCGTCTCTTTTCCTTTCAGTTTCCACATTAAAGAATTGTAAAGGTCTGTTTCATTCTTACGGAAAAACACTTTCTTTTCTTGGGGGCAGTAGACCAGTTTACATTTTAAGCATAGATCATCATGTCCCTTGGCTATGATAACAATTCAAACCTCACACTTCTTTATTAACATTGTGCATTTTTCTCCCTGCTCTCCATATGTCTCCTGATTTCCTCCAAGGATATGGCCATCACTGTGTGGAGGTGAAGCCATGTGGAGGTCAGTTCATGGGGAATATGTGAGCTGAAGAAGGAGGTTAAGGTATTGAGGGAGTGTCATTCTTTAGGGGAGGAGCTGGGGAGCAAAGAAAGACTGAGCTGAACTCACTGAAGGAGGGAGGGAGGGACTGTATTGGGGATTGTAGTTAACAGCCAGCAGAATCTTGATTCTGCCGATAGATATGAGGGATAAATACGGATTGATTGATCTTCAAAGGAGGATCAGATATTTCTGAGTAACTGTGATAAAGGAAGTGCCTGGAAGGGAAATCCGCCATCTTTCTTATCAGTAACTCCCAGGAGACCTACAGTGGCCAACTGCTTGTGGAGATCATTAACTCCAGGAGAAGGCCCTCTACTCACCCCCGTCACACCTCGACACCTAACTTCCATTTTAATCTTACCAACTTGTCTTGTCTACCTTGTCGGACCAGGTATCTCCTCCTCCTCCTCCCAGAATCTTCAACTGGAATCTATTTTCTCTTCCTCCTCGGGAGGCACTCTACTTAAGTCCTTCTCCTTATTCCTTCTTCAGCTCAAGGCCTTTCCCCTTTTCTGTCTCTCAGTGTCCCTCGTTACTCCCGACCCCAGTCCTTTAGCTCCCCTATCCCTCATTTCCTTAGTCCCTTTGTCCCCTTAACCTCATCCTTCCTGGTGATCTCACAGCCAACCTAGTACCAGCCCTTTTCTATCTTAAATCCACCTCAGTTTTCCAGCTCGAGGTAACCTGCCTCCATAGCTGATTATCTCTCTTTTCTGGCCCATATAGGACTGACCTGGCCACACTGAGCCTGGGCATCCTTTCCTCATCCCACTTCCAGCATCAGTACAGAGACAACCTTATCTCCCCTTTCCTCACCAGTCTTTCCAGTGCTCACAACTCTTCCCTAATCTTATTTCTCCCAGCCTCTTCAGTGTTAACCATACCCGCCCCCTCTGTCTGGACAAGCTGCTTCTGGAGTGGGTCCCCACTCAAAGCCTCATCCCTTCCTGGTTTCTTCAGTTTTTTTCTTTTCCACTCCCTCCATCTTCGTGAAGCCTGGTTCCCTTCTGATTACATAGCCTCCTTCACTAACCTTTCTAGCACCCCAGCACTGACTTATTTTCTTCACCCATTCTTGCACTCATTGGTCAACACAGGGGAGTTGGGCACTCCATGCTCCCCAATACCACTTATAGGCTCCTCTTCTATCACTTCACTCAGTAATCTCTCCTCTGAAGTTCACTCCATCCAATCAAGATTATACTAATCTGCTGGCCTTTCACTATCTCTAGTCCAACCTCCCAATTCTGGGTTACCCTAAGCCTAGCCCAGCCCTCCATTAGACAATGGATTTTATTACCTTGGGAACACACTCCTGGGTACTTCCCACCCCTGATTCTATCTAGACATTCCCAAGTCAGCTCCACCTCCAGTCACCCCAGCCCACTGGCCACTCCATCAAGATCCTCCCTCCATAGTGAGCCACCAAGAAGGGCAAGACCAGAGACCCAAGGAAACCCAGAAGCAGAGAGATGGGGGTTGGGGGAGAACAGGGTATTGGCCCTGGGGACACCCCCCCCTTTCTTGAGTTTTCTCCTTTTCCCACTTGATCTAGGAACTCTCTAGCATTTGCCTGAGGCTATAATCTTAACAGGTCTTTCATTAAAGCCTACACCCAATCTCCCAATTTTCTGTTACCCTTAACCTAGCCCAGCCCTCCATTGTCTGTTACCTTGGGATGCCCCCCTGGCCACTTCCCCACCCTTAATCCTATCTAGACCCCATTCTACCTCCCAGTCACTCCCATCAAGACCCTTTCTCCCAGACCCCTCCCTCCAGTCACCCCAAACTACTTGTCCAATCCTAGATCTCTCCCACAATCAATCTGTACATAAGATCTATCTTGTCTTCATTAAGGCCCTCAGATTCTTAAAGTCTAGCCAATGGTTGAGATTCACTCTAGCCCACTTAATACAAAATGTCCAGATTCTTTAAGAGTCTGGCCAATATGGTGAATCTTTAATAAACCTTCAAGAAGGCTTGGGTCAAATTCATTCAGGCAGGATCCCAAAACTCCAAATAGATCCATCATCTTTTAAATGTCAACTCTCATGACCTTTTCTCCATCCTCTCTGCAGCCTCTCTACACTGTCAATCGCCCTCTCCTCCTGCTTATTCTTCATTCTAGGGTTTTCTGGCTTTCCTCCTCCCTGCCCACTCCTCCTCAGTCTCCTTCCTGGATCTTCATCCAGGGTCATACCCACTAACAGTGGAAGTCTCCAAGACTCTGTCCTGTGCCCTCATCTTTATCCTATTTTCCTTAAGCACCTCATCAGCTCCCAAAGATTGAATGATCTCCTCTATGTGGATGATACTCAGATCTTTTTGTCCAGCTCTCCCCTGTGTGCTGACCTACGGTCTCACATCCACAGCCACCTACTGGCCAACTTAACATGGATGTCTCATAGACATCTTAAACATATCCAACATGGAACCCAAGCCCTCCCCTCTTCCAAATTTCTCTATCACTGTAGAAAGCACCCCCATCCTCCCAGTCACCTGGGATCCCAGTGTGGGTGCCCACCCTCAACTCTTCACTCTCTCTCACTCTCCCCCCATCCAATCACTTTCCAAGTCCTGTTTCTATCATCATAACCCATCAAATATGCCACCTGCTCTTCTCAGATACTGCCACTATCCTGTTTTCTGCCCTTTTCCCCTCCCATCTGGACTATATACAAACAGTCCTGGGGTAACTAGGCGGCACTGCACCAGCCCTGGAGTCAGGAAGACTCATCTTCATGAATTCAAATGTGGCCTGGGTCACTTCCGAGCTGAGCAACTGTGGGCAAGTCACTTAACCCTGTTTGCCTCAGTTTCCTCATCTGTCAAATGAGCTGGAGAAGGAAATGGCAAACCACTCCATTATCTTTGCCAAGAAAACCCCAGATGGGGTCAAAAAGAGTCGGACATGACTCAGCAACAAGTTGATTGATCCGCCTGCCTCAAATCTCTCCCCACTCCAGGCCACTCAGTGGTCAAAATGATTTTCCTAAGTCAAAACTCTGACCATGCTCCCCACCACTCCCACCCCACAATCAATAAACTCCAGAGGCTCCCTATGACCTCCAGGATCAAATACAAAATCCTCTCTGACTTCTGAAGCCCCTCAATGCCTTCCACACACACCCATATACTCTTCCATCCAGTGATGGTGGCCTGCTCACTGCTCCAGAAACAAGCCACTTCCCTCAGCATTTTCACTGGCTATCCCCCACACATGGAATTCTCTCCCTCCCCATCTCAGTCTTCTGGCTTCAAAGTCACTCTTCCTGAGCCCATTAAGGCTAGTGCCTTCCCAAAATCATGACCTCCCATTGGTCACGTATATGATGTATGTACCCAGTTATTTGCATGTTGTTTCCTCAAAAAGACTGAACTCCCTGAGCAGGGATTGGGGTTTCACCCCATTTCTTTGTGTTTCTAGAACTTCCACACAAATGCCTAGAGCCTTAATAAATGCTTGTTGACTGACTACCTGATGGAGACAGGTGACTCAGAAGACAGATTGAATTATATAGTTTTGGGACATGGCCAATGCTGGAATTCTTTTGCTAGCCTATATATGTTTGTAACAGCGATTTGGGGTTGGGTTTTTTTTTTCCTCTCTGTCTCTCTTCCAAAGGGAAGTGGGAAATGAGAGAAGTTATATTTTTGTTATTTGGAAAAAAAAATCTAATTTTAGAAGGATTAAAAAAAAAGCCCATTTCCAACCTTAGAAAACCTGGAGTCTGTCCGGACCTCCCTGCTTGACCTGCTGTGATGAGGAAAGTGGGGCGTGCTTAAGGTCACAGAAGATTGGAAAACAGGTCCTCTGATTTACTGCCCACCCTTTCAGGTACCACACTCTACTACAAAGATGATCTGGGCAAGGCCGGGCCAGTGCTAGCCTAGGGCCTGGGAAACGCTGTGGAAACTCAGCCCTGGCCCATGGTCTAAGAGGGGAAAGGTGCTTGGGGTGAGGCGGAGGTCTGGCTCTACACAAACTAGGAGGCGGAGTCAAGTTTAGAACAAAGCTAACCTTTCCCCCACAACCCAGTCAGGCTGAAATAATGATTGATAACAATGCTGATAACCGATAGTAGCACTGGGTAGAAACCTGGCTAAGGGGATGCATTGGACACCACTGAGAGGTCCAGTAAGGTGCCCAAGGTCACAAAGCTCACCCATAACTGGCAGAGCTGAAATTTCAAGCCAGGACTGCAGCTTCCAAACCCAGACCCAGGGTCAAGCTGTTCCTTAGTCTGTGCGACCTGGGCAAATCACTAGGACCCTAGGCAACTGAGGGGTTACTTGGGAGGGGACATTCCCATCAGGAAATATGTGAAATCCCTGGGGCTAGTTGCCCTAAGCAGTAAACAAAGAAGACCAGAGTTCAAATAGAGTTAACTGCAATCCATTCCCCGGCTCTGAGGGAGAGAAATCAGGACTGTCAGCAATCAGACTGCCTTCGGCAGGAGTGGGGGCTCCCCGAGGCAGGCCTGATAGCCTGACAGGACATCCTGTCCTGTGCTGAAGTGAAGTAATTGCATCAATTTCCCTAATGCTTGAAGGTTTATGGGACACATTCCACAGAAGCCACTCAACAAGAAATACTTCTATTTTCTGCATATGAATGAGACCCTGGTCACAGAGCTAGTCAAAGTCAGCAGGTGACTGAGAACTTGGCTTTGCCCAACTCCTGGTCCACTGGGCTACACTGCTCTTTCCCTAATGAGCCTCATTTGAGGGCCCAAGGGGTCCCTTCCAAGGCTGAGGCTCTGGGATTCTGTGAAAGGAACGAATTTGTCTCAGGTCATTGTTACCTAGGGATTCCCAGGTGGGACTCCAGAGTTCCTCATGATCTGGGCACCTCTGGCAGGGCTCACCTTCGACACTGTGTATGTGGCAAGGAGGTTCAGTTCTAGCAGGTCTCGGAAGGCCTGAGAGGAAGTCTCTTCCAGTATCTCCTCTGGGGGATCTAGGTTAGGTAAGGAGGAAGAAGAATTAGAGGAACAGAGGCCAGAGATGGAGGATGGGAGGGAGAAGGGGAGGTGGGGAGACTCACGGCGTCCAGCGTTGTTCACCAAGCAGTCCAGGCGGCCAAAACGTTCCAGGGTCTCAAAGAGCAGGGCCTGGAAGCCAGGAGACAAAATCTAAGAGCCTGAGAGACCCCAAAAATCAGGGACCAGAGAGACAGGAGACTGGCAGATTCAGAGACAGTCTACGAGAGGTAGAGACTTCTCGAGGCAGAGATGTAGCTGGAAGAAACCCCAGAAAAGTGTGAACAGAAAAACTGGATTTGTGGAGATATGGAGGGAAAGAGACATGAAGACTGGGTCATGGTCAAAATATGGGGAAGGGAGATAGACAGGGAATGCTGGGGAACTGAGTGTGAAGGGAGTGTTGGAGTTCTCCCAAGCCTCTTTCTCTTCCCTTCCTCAACTGCTCACATACATGGGCCACAGAGAAGGGCAAGATCAGAGACCCAAGGAAACCCAGAAGCAGAGAGATGGATGGATGGATTGTGTGTGTGTGTGTGTGTGTGTGTGTGTGTGTGTGTGTGTGTGTGT